GCTTCACACACTTCCTACTGACCACCGGCAGCTTTTTCTAACAGCACAAACTTCTCCTCGTGCCTTCAGCTTTGTCTCCGGCTTTAATATTCACACATGTGCCTTTCAGGGTCACGCTGCTCCTCCAGCAGAATTCTCATTACTGCTCACATTCTTGGAGAGCCTCCCTCAGAGGCAGAGTCTTTTCAGCGAATCCGTGACCGTCCGCTGTAAATGGCCGTGTTGGAAGTGCCTCCGCCTGAAACGCTCTCGTGGCTGAATGGGCAGCAAATCTCTGCAGCCAACATCTGGAGGCTGTTAGAGCAGCATGTTAATGCCGGCGGACGGCGAGCGGCGCGTTCGGGGGGCTGTGATGCTGCAGCGTAAATACAGCGCCAGAGCTTCGAGTGTCGTCGCTGGGCTCCGGCGCCGTGTCTCCGGCTTAACCTCAGCTGGTTATTTCTGATGCAGAGCACGGACGGAGCTGCTGTTACAGGATGGAAACAGGAATCCCTGGACGAGAGGCTGAGCGGGAGAGAGAGGAGCATCTGGCACCGAGGCAGGGTTTTAAATGTGTGGTTGCAGTGATCAGAAACTGGCATCATAGAGCCATTAGCAGATGCAAATGAGGGCAGAGCTGGCAGCGCTGCTTTGTCTCACTCTGTCTTTAGCACACAAACACACACGAACACAAACACATACAGTCCAACATCTGGACGGGGAAGCTGCCGGTGCCAAGCGTCTATCAGAACCAGCAGCCTGCCGGTGGTTCGGCTCGTCTTAGAGCTTAATCAGGAGCTGCAAATAAAGTGATTTTTTTTTTTCTCTGAGGGCGGTGCTGCAGGAAAGGTCACGGGGTTATTAATATTTAAATGCTCCATCCTCTGGGGAGCAGGAGGGGAGGATGAAGAAGTCTCACGGTGCAGAAAGCACCTCGGCCGTTTCAGCGACTCGTGAAAACCGTTAAAGCCTTTTTCATAGAACGCTGGAGGTCTGGACTGAAGGAAAACCATTTCTCTCCTCATAGAACGGCTCAACAAGGCCACAGACTGTAAATAAAGATGGACGTTCCCTTCATGATGTCCCCACAGCTTCACTGGAGAGCAGCTAATTGTGGCTAACGTCCAGCTAGCTGAGCAGAGGTTGGCCACGCCCCTATTCGAGCTTTAAGCCTCAATAAAGTTTAATTCAGTGAGTTAAACAGAAATCCACCTCCTTTATGGTCGTCGTTAGCGAGGAAAGTTGCTAAAGAGACCAGTACTGGATTTGTAGCCGGTTTATTCAACTGGTTTGTTTCTGATGTAAAGACGAGCAGTTTAACATGGACCTCTATGGGGATTGGCTCGTTTTTTTAAGGCAGCCTCAAGTGGCTGTTTGAGGAACTGCAGGTTTAGAAGTTGCTGTTTGGCGGAAGTTTACATGAAGCTTCAACGGGAATCTCCACAGAGCTCTGCTGCTGAACATCTAAACTGCATGATCACGTGTTCTGAAGGAAACATGATGTCGGTTTGAAATTTGGACGAGAAAACGTCAGAATGAAGTTGTTGTTGTTGTTGTTGTTTACGTTGGCTGTTTACTTGCTTTTTGATTTTGTTTATGCTTCGTTACGCTCCTTGTTGGGAGGTTGGTTCAGGTTTCGGTACCTGTTCCATCGTTGACACATGATTGGCTGCTGCTCTTCAACAGGCTCCGCCCCCGACATCGAACATCGGCTGAGGTCGCTCGTCGTTAAGGTTTCACTGGACCAACCGGAGCTCATTTGAAACCAATTCTAGATGAACAGCGGCTAGTTTCTCGGAGGTTTCCGGAGGCGCCAAATCAGCCTTGACGCTTCACATTTGCATAAAGTTGCGGAGACCTCAATTTATGCAAATCAGAAGCGCCTCATTTGCATAAAGGTGAGGCCTCCGCGTCTCACACAGACAATAAATGGGAATCGCTGAAGTGTCGGATCCACTGGATACGAACCATTAGGCGCCAAAATTACTCGGTTAGCGTTTGGAAAAATGTCCCAGTTCGGGTTCAAATTCGTCCCCATTGCTACACATTTAAAGCATCTCCTCCATTTTCTGGGTTACCAGGGCGACAAGGCCATCCAATAAACGACTGGTCGGCTGAAGATGAGCGACAGTGAAGCAGTAAAATAAAAAGACGCGTTGATTACATATTCAGTTCCTCCAGCGTGTAATTAAAACATTGAGTCAGTTCATCTTTTTGTTTCTTTTTGTTCGTTTCCAGTTCTGTCAGAGTTAACTTGCACACATCTGACGGCTGGAGAAACGTCCCTCCCGCCGTCCTCACATCATCCCTCCATTTGCTTTGGCATCGTGAGCGCCTCGTTCGTGTTTCTGGCGTTTCACGGAAGAAACAAATGACGGAGCAAAACTATTCCGCTGAAAGCACCAAGTTGTGGCTAAAAGCAGCAGAAAATGGACATAAATATTGTTTTCAGATTGTTTGCGGAGCCGAGAGAGGAGCACGCGGAGCCCATTTCCCCCCGAGGCCCATTACCCCAGTGGGAGAGGTGTTCTGGGAAAAAGTCCTGAAAGCAAAGCGGTGCTGTTCTGTGGCGCTGATGAACGGGTCAGAACCACACATTACTGTTATTTATCAATCAGCCAAAGTTCCTCAGACACACACAGCTGCTTCAGGAAATATTCAAACCTTCTGCACATTTTATACTTCGATTTATTTAACTGCATAAAATAGATTTTTTTTTTTCCTGCCACTCAATAAACCACAAAAGCAAAGTGAGAACAGGTTTTAAATATTATATAGAATTACTAAAATTCAAAACTAAGAAATCTCCAATTTAGCAAAGTCTAATTAAATATCTTTGTTTGCTGATTAAAATACAGTAAAAACGTGACGTCATTTTACAGTCAAATATGATTTTTTCAAATAAAAAAACTAAAAAAGTTACAATTTGTAAAAATACTGATTTTTGTGACCATTTTGTAAAATTTTGACGTTTTTAAGAGTTAAATGGTTTTTTCCTGTCATTTTGCTTAATTTATTAAATTGTTGTGATGAGCTTTAAAACTTGCAAAAAGCATGTAAATTAATGTTTTTTTGTTTGTGTAATTTTACTGAATATTATCTGTAGTTCGATATATAACTTGGATAACAGTTAGAGATGATTGAACATATTTCAATCATTAATATACGTTGGTCTTCTTTCAACTTACAACATATATCTATAAAATAATTAGTTTTTTTGCTGATTAAAATACAATAAATACATAAACGTGATGTAATTTTGTGGTTACATTTTTTTTTTCTAACATAAAAGCTCAATAAATTACAATTTGTAAAAATACTGATTTTGTTTTAAGGTGAACATTATGTTTAATTTTGACTTCTTCTTTTTGATTGTTTTTGTTTTTTTTAAGAGTTAACATGCAAATTAATGTATTTTTTTTCCTGTCATTTTGCTAAATTTACTAAATTGTTGTGATGAGCTTTAACACGTGTAATCAACATGTAAATTTATGCTTTTTTGTGTTTAATTTTACTAAATATTATTTGTAATTTAATATGCGCTGGTTTTCATTCTACTTACAACAAACATCTGTAAATTAATTATGTTTTTCAGCTGATATAAATACAGAAAAACTGTAATTTTACACTGTAAACAAACAAACAAACTAAATACTTTTTGTAATAATTTAGATTTTTAATGTGGACCACTCTGGCAGGTCTTTAGGATTAAGATGTAAATTCATACTTTATTTCTATGATTTTACTGATTTTCTGTAATTTAACAAAACACTGACTTCTGGGAAACAACAGTAAAAGGTAAAAATGAGACGGTCCCGGCTAGTCAGAGGCTATAAACACAGTTAGATCACATGTGATGCTAGTTGTTAGCGTGTTGACTAACCTCTAACTCAGCGCTGACCAGTTGCTGTCGTGGACGATTTCCAAAGCGCACCAGATTTTCCTCGACCGTGTGTTTGTGTTCTTCGTCTGGTTCTCGGATATTTTCGCACAGAAAGTGCTAATTAAGGACCAGGTGCTACAGGTCATTAAGGAAGCATCCGGTTCAGATGAGTACAGGTTCTGCAGCTGCTGCTAAACAGAACGTGGCTCCTGTGAACCAGATGGCTTCCAGGACGATTAGCCCAGTGTCCATAGCAACACTTGCACTCGCCGTATATTTTTTAATAATTAGAGGACGCGCTAAAGATACGGATGAATAACAAAAAGGAGAGTGTGAAATTAATCGATCGCTGAAGTTGTGCATCCGTGCGGCGCTTCATGAGACGTTTCAGCTGTTTATACGAAACTAAACTCAAATAAAGATGTGAAAGTGTTGTTCCTAACAAACCTCCATCTGTCAGCAGGTACATGTTCCTGAGCTGCTGGAAGACGTTCACACAAACATCTGCCGACATTTCTGCGCTAGAAAGATCATTTTAGAATGCTGGGAAACAAAAAGCCGACCTTCCTTGCACGAGGAAACAGCAACAAGTCCTGCACCGAGGTTTAAAAAAACTGAATAACAGTTTTAGCATCAACAGTCTACATGTTTTGCTTTAGATGGTAATCAGACACTTTGGGAAGAACTCCGAGCACCACTTTTAGACAAACACCATCGGCTCCCGTGACGTGCTCAGATCTACAGTGAAGCACGACGGCGGCATCATCATGAAAAGAGACCAGTCAGGGTGAGTTACATTTATAGAAATCCTCAAAGAAAGCCCAACTCAGAGTGCCAACACCTGAAACAAGAGTAAAAGCTCACCTTCTGCACCACAAGTACGAAGCACGGCGGCAGCATCATCATGCAAAAAGGCTCCAGGAGACGGAGACCGGTCAGGGTGAGTTACATTCATAGAAATCCTCAAAGAAAGACCAACCCAGAGTGCCGACACCTGAAACAAGGGCAGCAGCAGCTCACCTTTCTGCACCACAAGGAACCACCACCGGAGGCAGCACAAGTTCCGGATGTAGACGAGCGGTCCGACTCCACAGAACATCTGCTAATAGACCGACTGTAAAACCATCAGACACAAAAGTGAATATAATCATTTATTTACTCCAGTCCAAGAAATGTACACGTATGTTCTCTGAAGGTATAAAATTTGTTTTTAAATAAGCAATTGTTCTGTTTCATATTCATGTAAATTATTTAATTAAAACCCCTGAAGACTTTTTGTTTGTTTAAAACTGACGACGTCCGACACCACAAACAACCAAAATCATTCAAAAGAGCACAAACAAGGTTAGTAGAGTTAGCAAAGGCCGTCCAGCAGTTTGCAACCTGACTTTGGGTGTGAGGAGGGCGTTGCTCTTCAGTACATACACATATATTTATTTTATCACCTTTACATTAAAAAGAAAACGTTTATCTGCATTTGAAAAGTGAGACAAAGAGACAGACGCTGGTATCAACGGATCACAGAGAGGATTAAAGGCTGCGGTTGCTCTGAGCTGGTGGATCGTCAACGTATTGCTGCTGTAGCTGTAATGTTCCTGCCGTAAGTTGCAGCGTCTGTTGCTGCAGTTGCTGCTGGTGTTTGTCTGTTGTGTCATTGCTGATGCCGTTGTTGTTGTTGTTGTTGTTATTGCTGTGGTCGCTGCACCCGATGCTGGACAGTCCCTCCAGTCTCCGGATGCCGACAGACGTCCAGGTTTCCCCGACAGGCGGGTCGAGGCGACGGCCCGCCGAGGCAGCGGATCAGTGCCGGTGTTGTGTCAGTCTGTGGGTGGGGTGCGTTTGGTGTGCTGTCGGGATTAAGATGAAGGTGGTGATAACCCTGAGGCTGGTCGACGGAGGAACTCTGGAGAGAGACAGAAGGAGATAAAGAGTTATTGTTGCCGATAACGTGGCACACTTTACATTTCTGCTCCAAATCCTCACAACAGATTGATTTAGTTTCAAACTCCTGCTTTCAAGGTCGTCGCTGAACTCTTTCTGTTCTGTGAGAAGAAGCTCGACACATCTGGAAGATTAGGTTTCGTGCCACTGGAAGACATTTACACAAACATCTGGCTGCGTTTCTTTAGCAGAAAGCTCATCTTTGTTTGGGAACTAAAATGTTCCAGCGACAAGCATCAGGCGTCCACGTCAACAACAGAAAACACATCCACAGTTTGGATGTTTTTTTTCAGCCCAAAGTGCTCAATTCAGAGCTGTGGAAGGTAATTAAACAGTCCGGGCAGAACTCCAAGCGCTAAGTCCGTCAAACAGCAGCCGCTCTCATGACTGGCTAATAGGTCCAGTGAAGCATGGCGGCGGCAGCATCATGTCATGGAGGCAGACGGCCACAGCTTAGGGAGGGATGAACGCCACAGAGGTCCTCGAGTACAGAGAGGAGATTAAGAGTCATCATATGAGTCACAGGAGAAAATAGAAAACTGTGATCACTTCTGGATTTCAACTCGAGTAACTTTCAAATCACTGGTGGTTCATCAACATAAAGCAAAAGGAAGGACGGTTTAAATGAAGATCATTTAGTTCAGGATGTGCCTAAAACCTGAAGTGGAGGTTTGACTGGAAACTGTGTAAAATAGCTTCAGGTTCATACAGACACTTGTAGGAACATTTTCTAACTCAGGACTTTTTCATAAACAAACTTGTTGTGGACACGATGATGAAATTGGAACTTTTTTTTAAATCAGTTTTTCTAACTCAGGAGTTTTTAGAATTTTACTATTTTTTCAAAAAAAGTGAGGAAATTAGAAAGTGAGGAAAAACATGTTTGTGGTAAATCTGGGAGAAGTTTTGAGTTTAGACTTTAAGGATGTTGAAACATTTCGGACCTGTTTGTGAAACCCAGAACGTTTCTACTAATGGAGGACGACTGAACCAGTTCTTGGACCAGTGAGGACATTTTTGTCGTAAATGTTTGTAAGCGAGGACGATTTTTACCACCTTTGGGGAAGCGGAGACGTTTTATCAGACGCATTAGAGAATGAGGACTTGTTTTCGGTGTGGGGGACACTTTCTGAAAACGAGGACATGTTTTGAAGTTTTCCAAACGAGGACACGTATATGAATACATTCCCTCCAATCAGACTGGGTGTGAGGGCGTCTCGTTACATGAGCGTTAATGAGTGCTGACTGATGTCTTGCTCTAACACATATCGTGTGAACGCCAGGCTTCCTGCAGAGACCTCTGAACAAAGCTCCGCCTCCTTCCTCCATTAAAGCCAAATTGACTCTTTAAGCTGGTCTTAATAAAACCCACAGAACCAGACGTCTCCGTGCTGATTCTGCCGCCTCCTGCAGAACAATAAACAGCCGCCTCTGGACAGGGAAAAGAAAAAAAAAATCCAATTAATGTGGAGAGCCTCCATGCTAATCATTAGCTTCTCCATTAACCCCTTGACACCTCCTCCCCCCCGCCGCATTAATAAGGGGGGTGGGGCTACAATTAGGACCGCTCGTCTGCAGAGGCATTTTGCCTGCACAGAAAACATTTTAATTATACATAAAACAGCAGCTGGAGGCGTCGGCGCAGCAGGAGAGCAGCACTGATACCAAGTATCACCACGTTCTGCTGGTCCTGCGCCGCCTCTGGATGCCGCATTTAGAACGACTGCTGCTACAACAAGCAACAGGAAAAACAAGTCAAGCTTCCAACAGCCTGCAGATCCACTGAGATCCACGGCGACGCCTTATTGAGCCGATTTGTTGTCATCATGCTTCAAGTCAGTATTTAGTAGATATTGATTCTATAGACACGTGATCAGCTGCAGCTTCACCTCATTCCTCTTTGTAAAACTCATCAAACTCTATCTTGTCATCTTCAAACCATCTCTGTGGAGCTTTGGCTGTTTGCTTCGGCTCATTGTCTTGATGGAAAACAAGTCTTCTCCAAGTCTCAGTTCTCCTGCAGACTGCATCAGGTTGTCCTCCAGGATTTCTCTACACTCTGCTGCATTCATTCACCCTCTACCTTCACAAGCCTTCCAGGCTGCTGCTGAGAAGATCCCCACATCATGATGCTGCCACCACCGTGCTTCATCATGATGCTGCCACCACCGTGCTTCATCATG